GAGTGATGGCATTGCTGAGCAAATCAAAGAGCATCTATGGAACACCCACGTGTCCTGTCTGGGCAACAGCAATTGGACGAGGGCCGGGGAGTTCAGAGATGAATGAAGGAGACGAGGTCCTTGCCCATCAGACTGTGGGGCCCCGCCACTCCGTGACTTCTTAAGGACAGCAGTGTGGCCCTGGCCACCACACTCCTGGCCCACCACCAGCACACTGACGCCCTCACGGACCCGTATTCGCAACACGCCTGACAACGAACCCATTTCACAGATTCGCACTGGGGCCCTGGAGGCATGCCCTGCCTACTATATCAATACAATTCACCTTTCAATTAAAAACCACGCCGATGGTAAATCCAAAAGGTACAAACCGCTCTCCAGTGAAAAGCAAACATCCTCACTCCTCCTCTGGGCCACCGGCTCCTCTCACCTGCTCCCCAGAAGAAACCGTAGCTCTAGAAAATTTGCATCTGTGGCCAGCTTTTTCAAAAAAAGGCCGTATTTCACATAAAAATCAAGATTCTCAGCTTTCCATAGAGGCAGAGCCCAAGCGGGAGAGGGGCATAGAGAGAGGGAGACACAGAATCCGAAGCAGGGTCCAGGCTCTGAGACATCAGCACAGAGCCCAACGCGGGGCTCGAGCCCACGAACCGTGCAATCGTGACCTGAGCCGAAGTCGGACGCTTAACCGACGGAGCCACCCAGGCGCCCCTTGAGATGCCCAGCTTTTACGTAAAAGGAATAACTTGGAGATCTGGCCACAGCCAGCCCACAGTTCTTCAGGGCAGCTACTCATGGGTGTCGAATGGCTGCTGTCCCCGTGCAGAGGGCCAGGGCCCTACCCCCACCCCCTCCGCCGTGCCCGTGAGCTTGTCTGGGGCATCATTCATGCCCTTGCCTGGCCCCTGGAGGCGGGCAGTGAGCAATCCCCCAGCTTTGCTGTGGCTCCAGTCCTAACACTCCAAGAGGAGTTATTATGTGAGCTGGGCACTGGGGTTGCCCATGGTGCCCCTGTGAGTCAGTCAACAAACATCCACGGTGCCAAGCACCATACATTACATCCTGTTTCCTTTAGTGCTGGGTCCCCTTTACCTGACGCTGCTTCTACCAATAGGAAGCCCTTGCTAAATATCCTTGAATGACAGACCATCAAGGCACTCGTAGGACAGGGTTACTGTCCCCAACCTCTCTCAGGCTAGGGAGCAGAAACTAGTCTGTGGGGACCGGCTGGTTGGACAAAGGGTACAGGAAATGAAGATGATGCTTAGGATGCTGGTCAAAGAGACCCAGGCTCAGCGCCCTGAAACCAGTGGGAAGGGGGGCCCAGGCTCAGTGCCCTGAAACCAGTGGGAGGGGGGACCCAGGCTCAGCGCCCTGAAATCAGTCAGGAAGATTCCCAGCAGCTGGCGTGGGCAGCATGGAAAGCGGCCGAGGGGTGGATCCCGACCACCTGGGAGGAGCCTCCCCACCCCATCCCTGCAGGCCCTCCCACCCTGCCCTGCACACAGCGTTCATTCATTTCATTCATTATTTCTTTTGCTCCGTCGTTATGGAGACCAGCAGCGTGCCAGATACCGTCCTACAGACACAAGGTAAGAAAGCCAGGCCTTCAGTGGGAGACCCAATAAATGGGGGCCATCATTCACTCACTCATTCATTCGTTCAGCCCCTTCTGTACGTTAGACCCGGTTCCAGGTCCTAGGGATTTGGCAATAATTTAAGATAGACAAAAACACCTGCTGTCATAAAGGCTACAATCTAATGGGCGTGTAGGGAGTATGCAAGGGGACACCCAGGAAACTCGAAAACTAAGCTGTATATTAGCTGATAAGGCCGGGAAGGGGGGAGGGGATGTGCGGTTCCAGAGCTGGGGGGACTGGTTTCTACAAGGTTGACCGGAGAGGTCTCACTGAGGAGGTGACTTCTGGGTAGAAGAAACCTGGGTGTGGGGAGGGGGGAGGATGGATGGGAACGAGTGGGGCCATATCTGCCCAAGACAGGGTCCAGGTGAAGGGATAAGCCAGGCCAGGTGCCGAGATGCAGGGACAGTGTGGCCACAGCGTGGCGGGAAGGGGACAGTAGGAGGGGGCTGGGAGGCAATCCTTCACGGGCGTGTTTTTGTGCACACGCCTTGTGAGCTTTTGTGCCGGGTCATCCGAGAAGGTATGTATCGTGCACAGCCTGGGAGGACCGCGGCAGTGTCTCCCTGTTGGGGACACGGGGCAGATTTACTTGCCGTCCAGCAGGGTAGCAGCAATGTCCCCTTCCCGGGCAGAACTGGCACTTTGCCTGCTGCCCGCTGTGAAAGCCGGGGTTCCCTAAGGTCAGGGCTCCTTGGCTGATGGTGCACAGCACCCCCTTCCATGCTGCCCCCCCTGGGACTTGGGGGACGAGGGGGACCCATCAAACTGACACTCATGTGCTTGTGGGGCCACAAGTAATCGAGGCCTTCGCCTCAGACTCCAGAGTCTCCCGTTTCCTGCCGGTGACAGCGCGACAGGCTGACTTAAACAGAGGGTGAAATCTTGGATGCTTCACGGGGCTCGGTGACATAGGGACAAGATCAGAGGCAAAGAAGGAATGAATGGGTGAATGGATGAATGGATGAATGAATGAATGAATGAACGAACGAATGGCGTGGGATTCAGAGCGTACTCGTCCTTAAACGTAGAACTTCAGCAATAAACTGTCCCCAGGCCAGGTGCAGACACACAGCTGGTCACTGCCATGGGGTAAAAACACGTCTGGGGACCAACCGCAGAACCTCAGAGGTGGCCACAGGGATAAGTCAGCGGGACCCCGTTTCCTGCCGCTGTTACTGCTCGAGACTGGCGCCAGGCAAGGAGGGGGAGACTTCCAGGAACAGGCCCGGCTGGGGGGTCAGTGTTCCCAGCAGTGAAGATCCCGGCTGCTGATCTACCCACCCCGGCGCCCCAACCCCGCCCTGCGGGCTCCTCGTCCAGACCGTTTGCACAGAACCCTCCACCCAGCCCTCCCTGTGGCCATCCCTTCGGGCTTAAAGGCCAAGAACAAAGACACAGAGTTTCCCAAGGTCGCAGCTCTGCCCCCCACCTGTCGTCAGCCGGGGGGGGGGGGGCTGTGACTCTGGCACAGGGACAAGGGACCCCCTCCCTCTGCCACTGACCCACTTCCCCCTCCTCCTGTCGGCGCTGACTCACAAACCCCTGAGTTTTGGGGGCAGATGCTATTTCCAGTGTTCTGACCTTTTCTCTCCATGGAGACAGTCATACTTGCCCGGCTCTTTGGTTTAGAGCATGTGATTCGTGGGCTCACAGTAGGAATGCTGAGCTCTGAGGGGACCCCTCGACCCTTAACCCTCATCCTACAAGGCCCACTTGGGCTGTCCAGGTTCCCGAGGCACCGGGGACCTGGGGGCCCTGCTCTCTGCTGTTCTCTGGGGATGGGGCAGGCCTGTTTCCCTTCCTGTGTCTGCCACTGGCCGGGGAGGAAACACCTGGATGTGAGAGAGACAGTCTGGAGGAGGCGGGGAGGAGAGCATTGTTCTGGGGGGAGGGCAGGGAGCCCGGGAGGAGTCTGACGGGGCGTGGGTGTAGACCAGGAAACCCCTGGGGGCCAGATTCACGCCCACCATGTCGGCCAAGAAGCAGGTCCTGGTGAGGGGCTATGTGGCAGTGTGGCTGGGCTGGTGGCACTTGGTGCCGGACTGCCTGGATCCCAGTCCTCTCTCTGGCTGTCACAACTTGGGCTGCCTGCTTAGAACCTTTGTGCCTCAGTCTCCCTGTCTTTAGAGGAGAGCTAGGCATAGCACCTGCCTCGTCGGATTACTGCAAGGACGAAATAAGATGATCCTCGGGGCGCCCGGGGGGCTCGGTCGGTGGAGCATCCGACTCTTGGTTTCGGCTCAGGTCACGATCTCACGGTTCGTGAGTTCAAGCCCCGCGCCGGGCTCTGGGCTGACGGCTCAGAGCCTGGAGCCTGCTTCACATTCTGTGTCTCCCTCTCTCTCTGCCCCTTCCCTGCTTATGCTGTGTGTGTCTCTCTCTCTCAAAATAAATAAATAAACATTTAAAAACTGACCCTCTATGAACTCTTCTCTTCAGCAGCCAAATGGACTCACCAGCTGTGTTTCCCCGTAAAACCCCCTGCTTTGCACCTGCTCTCCTGCTATGGGTTTGCACACTTTGTTCTCAACCGGGATGCCTGCTGCCTCACCTCTGCACACAGACCCTCCCTGCCGCTCAAGGCTTGGGTGCGGCCTCCTGTAAAGCCCCCTGGAGCCCCTGCCCCGAGGTCACCTGCGTACGTGCCTCCGCTCGCCTCGGGACCTTGCGCACTTTGCTTTCTGTTGGTCACTTACTTGTGCTGCGTCTTAAGGCCCCACCAGCTGGCCAACTTCTTGAGCACCGGGACCTGGCCTTGCTCAGCCTCTGGCCCCGACTGCACAGCTAGAAGACGCTCGATTGTGCGTGTGGACAGAAGCAACCGGACCAGCATGATCGCCACCTGGCTCCCCAGGAGGGACAGACACATGATGTCCCAGAAGGGGTGTAGACGGGACCAGAAGGCCGACTCGGGGGCCAGTGCCTTGCTCACCTGCCCTGTTGTCTTTGGCAAGACGCCGCATCTCTCTGAGCTATAAAACGGGCATTAAAATACGTATCCAGCCCACCTCTGGCGGCACACGAGAGTCCGGTGGGACGATGCGTGTGTTCTCCTGCCCCGGGCGTGTGTAACCAGTTATAATATTGATACTTACAGGATCCAGAGAAGAAAGGAGGGGTCCCCTCGCCGGGTCCTGGGTGAAAGGATCTTAACTTGGCAGAGTGATCCTAGGGGCCACCGCCTCTGGTAACCCTTCTCAGCAAGGCTGGGCCTCACGTACAGAAGAGCCAGGGGCGTCTCGGCCCCTCCAGGGCTCCCTGCCTTCCTCCTCCTTCCTCCTGGCCCCTCCACCTGCTCTGCCCGGATCTGCCTCTCCCGGCTTCCTCCCTGGACACCTTACCCCAGCCAGCACCTACCTTAGCTCGGCTGGAGCTCGGTTCCCTAAGTCTTTCTGCCAACTGGCTCCCCACCGTCTGTGCAGGGAGGCTGCCGGCCCCAGAGAACCCGATGGCTCAGAGGGGCTCCAACGGGTGTCTCTGGTCCCCACTGCAGCCTGCAGATCTGCAGAGAAAGGCCCAGTGTGGCACAGGCCCGACTCTGTCCCTCCTCTTCCTTCCCCTTCCCCGTGGCCCTCAAAGCTCCTCCCAGAACACATCCTGCTGTGAGGCTGCTTTCTGCAGAAGCTTTGTGGTCCCCCGCGGTCACTGGAGGCTCTTCCTTTCGATGGGGCGGGAGGGGGGAGCCTCCATAGAGTCCCCCTGTGGTGCTGACTGGGCTGTGATGCCGGGGACCCTGAGCTCCCTCCAGAGCTCCAGACACGCCAGCCGCCATCCACGCCCGGAGACTGGCAGCCAGAGGGCCACCTAACACTTTCAGTTCAAGGTGCATGAACCGAGCCTTCCTCCCCCGCCCCCACCAAGCCCACCTGTCTGCTCCTCACCTCAGAATCAGAAACTTGTGGGGGGGGCACCCTCAACGCCTCCCTCTCTCTCCCCTGTTCCATCTAAATGCAACCAAGTCCCATGTCATAAACTGTCCCCTTTTCCCGCCCCCACGACTGCCACCATCGCCCTCCTCCCGAGTGACCGTAGAAGCCTGATCCACAACCGCATCACAGCCAAGAGCCCCTCTCTGGTGCTGAAACACAAATCGGATCACATTACGCCCGCGGTACAGCCTTCAATGGCTCCCTGTTACCTTTAGGAGAAAGGCCAGACTCCACCTCGCGATTTGCACGGCTCCTCTTGACCCGGTGGCTCCTTGATCCCCAAGCCCGGGCTGTGACCCCTCCCAGGCGTCCTGATCGCCGGCAGTTCTGTGATGGTCCAGGTGGCCCCTGGGCTCCAGGCCTGCACGTGTGCTGTGGGCTCCCCTACTGTCCTCCTCCTGGCTCCAGCAGAGAAGAGGAAAAACGTAGGTCAGAGAGGAAGGAGGAAAGTGGGGTGCCTGGCAGCTGGGAAAGGAGACGGGGTCCGGGACATGGTGGTCAGCGGTGTCAAAGCCAGCAGAGAGGGCGCGGATGAAGGGAGCGACAAAAGCAGCTGCTGACCTGGGCACTTAGGAGAGAGCAGCGTGGGGGAGCGGATCACCCCCAAGGTGTGGACTTGCTGGCTGGCCCGTTGTAGTCTTTCTTTTCCTCACAATTTGAAGCCAAGCAGTATTTTGGGAAATCCACACATTTCTAGACCTTCGAAAAGCTCACAGATGCTCTGCTATCACCTGGTTTGGCCTAATGGTCAATGTCTCTGGAGAGAGACAGATCGCAGACAGCATGGCCTGAACGCCTGGATTCAGCCGTGCCTGCAACCCTCATGCCTAGATCTACTGCGGATTGTTGGACTATGGGATCCAATAAATTCTCCCTCCTCCCCTTTTTGAGTAAGACGGTTTGACTTGGATTCTATTACTTGGGTTCCTCCTTTGCGGCCAAAGAAGTCACTGATATTTTTTTCTGCAAGGGTTTGCGTGGCCTCTGCTCCATCACCCTCACTTTGCAGAAGAGCGCATTTGAAAGACAGCAACACCAAAAAAGAGCCCAGACGTTTCGATCATCTACTCCACGACTCAATCTTCCTGCCCTATCTGTTGTTTTTCTGCACCCCCTCCCGTGACTGGAGTGATAGTCTATCTCCTATCTTTGTATTTGAGTTCTTAGGTCATGTGTCTGCCCCATCTGTCTACCCTTCCCCCACAAGTTCTGGGGAAGCAGAGGCTAGGTCTAGAGAGTGCTAAGAGAATGTTTGGCTCATTAAATACAACAAATGGATAGATGGATGGATGGATGGATGGATGGATGGATGGATAGACGGATGAGTGGATGGATGTTGGATCGGGGGATGCATAAGAGAAATGAGTAAGTCCAGGGCAGGATAAAGGACCAGACACTCTGCCCCTGCAGGTCTGGTACTCAGCAGCAGCCAGGCAGTGTGGTGGCCACAGTGGGCAGCCTCCTCACCTTATCAGCTTTGGCTTCACTGAATCGGAAATCACAAGTCGACGTTGTGGCTGGCTGCACCCTCCTCTTTCCACAGCTGCTGTCTCGGCAGCCACACTGGGTGTGGCAGCCACGGGTTGCTTGGTGACCGTGGACGGCCCCAGAGCTGTCCCCTGCAAGGATGGGCTGAGGCTTCTTCATGGGTCATGGACATCCAGGAACAGGAAAGAAGGAAGAGGAGGGAGAGACGAAAGACTGAGGGTTGCTAGCTGCCCCGTGAACCATCCTACCATCCCCAAGGCAGGGCAGGGGTGGGGGGGGGACTGCCCCTTTGATCCCAGGGACGCCTTGCCTCTTAGGGGGGGATTCTGCTTTCCAGGTGCTGAGGCCAGGCTTCCCATCTGCACCAATGTCCCCGGAAGAGCCCTTCCAGTCCCTTCTGTTCAGGCAAACACTTCCTGTTATCTTCCCACCCATTACTAAGCAGCCAAGACTTTTACACAAATTAAAATTTTAACCCGTAAACAAATTCAATGAAACCCTCCTGACACTGTGGCAGCAGAGGCCCCGGCCCCGGGAGCAGGGCGCCCTGGAGGACCAAGGATAGATTATTGGACCAAGGGTATTGGAGTCAGGTGAGATTATTGGCTTCAGACGCAAGAAGCCCAGGTCACCTGTGCCCTCGCCCCACCTTCCGGGGGAATGGTCTCAGGAGCCTCCGGCAGCAAATGCAGAACTCACCATCTTGACCTTTTCTTTTTTTTTTTTCTTAAATTTTTAACGTTTATTTATTTTTGAGACAGAGAGAGCCAGAGCATGAACGGGGGAGGGTCAGAGAGAGAGGGAGACACAGAATCGGAAACAGGCTCCAGGCTCTGAGCAGTCAGCACACAGCCCGACGCGGGGCTCGAACTCACGGACCGCGAGATCGTGACCTGAGCCGAAGTCGGACGCCCAACCGACTGAGCCCCCCAGGCGCCCCACCATCTTGCCCTTTTCTAAGGAATCCACCCACAGAAAATCCTGATGAGCGAAGTAAATCTCACTGAGGATCACAGGGGCGGGGTGGGGGGAGATAGGAGAGGCATGTACGTTACACGTCTCTTAGCAAACGATTGAAAAAACCTCTGTGGATATTTCTGTCGTCCAGACACCCTTTGTCCACACCAAGCCGCCGGACTGGTGGGCTGGGGTGGGATCAGAAGGGCTCTTCTGCTTTGTCCTGTCTCCCCAAGTGACTCTGAGTCAGAGTCATGCATTGCTGGTTTCTCCGGCCCAGACTTTTTCACAAAGGGAAGTCCTCTCAGGGTTGGACTCGGAGAGGGGTGCCTGGGTGGCCCAGTTGGTTAAGCGTCCGGCTCTTGATTTCGGCTCAGGTCGTGATCTCACGGTTTGTGGGTTCGAGCCCTGCATCAGGCTCTGTGCTGACAGTGCTCTCTCTCTCCCCCATCCCCCCCCCACTCGTGCTTTCTCTCAAAAATAGATAAACATTTAAGTGCTTTCAGAGCACTTCCAACCCCACGTGTTTTAGAAACACATCTGACTTTACGTATACAGCTACTGTAGGAGCTAGCGCGTTCGGGAGGGGGCTCACCTAAGTGGTCGGGAGGGCGCTTGAGCCAGGGGGAGCCCAGTCCAGCTCCAGGGAGCACTGCGGGCCGAGTCAACTGGAAGCCTGGCCCACGGTCCTCGCCTTCCATCCCTCCTCAAGGAAGACCCAGGCATCGGCGTGGCTGGTGCCCACTTGACGGGCACCTCTGCTTCTAGTGGATTCCCTCCAGCCCTCACGGCCACAGCCCCGGGAAACAGGGACTGTGGGACGACCTCGTGCTCTGAAGGAGTGGTTCGCCGAGCGTGGTCCCTGAGCCAGCAGCATCGGGAGCTTGTGAGCACCTAGTAGCATCTGCTGTGGGGGCAGAGAGGGAGGAAGAATCAGGAAGAATCAGGGGCAGTTAGGATAGTGGGGGGACGATTAGTAGAAAAAGAGCTCCGGGCCCCGTCTTCCCTGTATCCTTTTCCTCTCCACCCGGTGATAATCGCTGTTGAAGGCCTGGGGTGATTGCACAAACTGATCTTCCACTGGCTTTGTTTACTTGGAGATCATGAGAGGTGTGGACCCAAGGATCAGCCGCTTTCTTTTCTTAAATGTAAGTGTCTGTATTTTCTGGCCCCAGTAACATATTGACTTGGGTCAACATTCAGAGAAAAACCTGCCCACTCCCTCTCGGGCAAGCCATTTGGGGAAGAAAACCTCCCTCCCCAGAATTCTCTTGGCAGGTGCACCGGTCGCCCCTCCCAGACTCCTCTGGGGCGGGGGGAGGGGCAGGGAGACCCTGCCGTGGGGGCGGGGCCTGCTCACCGCGCGCACCTCCCCTCCCCTGTTCTCCGGTGGGGGCTGGAGGAGCCTAGCTGGGGAGCAGGTCTGCAAGCTCCCCGGAACGTGAGGGGGGCGGCGTGGAGCCTCTCGAATGTATGAGATACTTAGCACAGTCGCTGTGTCTTCTCACAAAAGAATTCCCACTAGGAACAGGGACCGGCTGGCAGGTCGAGAAAGCTGGGGGCGTCAAGAAGGCTGGGGGTGACCAGGATCGTTGAGAAAACTCGAAGACTCCCTTCATTACTCATGCAAACTGCCTGGCACCCACGCGCGCACCCGTACTCGCACCCGGGCGCACAGATACACCCCAAAATGGGGACCTGGCTGGGCTCTGTTGTAACATTGCTGTAGCTGCACGGGCCCCTTCTCCTGCCTGGGTCTCAGTTTCCTCCTCTGTAACCCAGGGATTGCAGCGCGCATTTGCAAGGCCCTTGCCAGCTTCCTCACCGCCGCCCCCCCCCCCCCAACGACCCCCGACAATCCTGGTGGGGTAGGGCTGCTCCCTCTTCTCCCACCCCTCCCAACTCCCCCTCTCCAGAGGTCTCTGAGGACCCCCTTGAGACAGCCCTTTGGCCTGGAGTGCATTCACATAAGGCCTCCCTCCTGACTGCCTCCCCCTCCCTGCGCAGGGGAAGGCACAGACTGGCCAGGGGCCCCGCCCACCTGCTCAGACCTCAGCTTCCCTCTCCTGCTCCCCCACCCCACCCACCCCCATTGGCGGGGGTGCCTGCAGACCGTGGCTTCCATGTTGAAAGCTCCAGAGCTCCTCCAA